TAAGACAGATATTAGAGACAAGGTCCTCAAAATTCTATGGCTTTTCTTTCGATTTAATTGACGAAAATAGTATTTAAATGGAAAATTGACTTTTTAAATAGACTTAAACATTAGTTTCTTAGCTATTTGAGGTTCCTTTCCTCTACAAATAATAATTGGAAATTTTTATTTTATTGAAATGTTAAAATTGAAGACTGGGGCACATTACACCCGAACCTACCTGGGGATATGGGGTACTTACTAAAATATTTTAGGGGCCACTCTCGCCCCTTCCGTCATTCTGGGTATAAAGGGTCTATATTTAAATGTGTTTCCTTAAGGGACACGCATGAAAATTAAAAAAAGCACTTAAATTGGATAAAATTATCAAAAGTCAGAAATACTTAAACTTTTTGTAAGTTATTTTTTGAATTAGAGAGTTACAAAAGTCAAGAGAAGCCAAAATGACCCCAGCCGTCTAATAACATGCGATATAAACTTAGTTCAAATACATAATTATTCTTAAAAAAATTAATCTCATTTAAATCCTTTCCGTTAATTCTTTTTTTTGTTTTTAATATATTTAATAACAGCTTTGTAGCTCTTCATTTCAATTTGCATGTAAAGTGATCTTCTTTTTTCAAATCACTTATACCACTTTATAAAGTAACCTGAATTTGAAAAGAAGAAAGTTATTATGAAAAGAAGGTGAGGAGGAGGATAGGTAAAAGTTGAGGCGTAGGTTTCTAAAAAGCACAAACAATCCCCTAAGGTCGCACTCACCAACTTCCGGTGACTGTGAAAACAGCCTTGAGTGATGGGAAACGCCTAACGATGGACACAGGTGCCTCCAAGAATTTCTTCTTTATAGTTTTTTTTTAAATTTTTTTTTCACTTTACTATGTTTTACGAGCGGTAGCTTAAATATAGATAAATAGATCGTATTTTTGAATATATAAAATTAAAAAATTATGCCGTGTGTGTTGTAATTTTATTAACTCGCACGCCAATAGATGTTATATGTAAAACATCTATTGGCGTACCAATAGATGTTATATGTAAAAAAATTAGAAAAACTTATTTTAAAGATGCTTAAGGTAAATGAAGTCATTATACTCTAATAACAAGCGCGAAAGCAGCCGTCCGAAATTAAAGCAAATATATTATAAAATGTGATATAGAGAATACATTTATAAAAATTGTTCGCATAATAGTATACATAATATATATATATATATAAAGAATAATTTTTATCTTAGGATAATTATTCTTTATTCAGAAATATCGCATTTATACCAATAGATGTGTCTTGATAACGACTATTGGATTCCCCATTTTTAGTTTCTCTTTATACAGTTGACTCGCGTTATAACGACCCCATCGGGACTGCCCCTATCTGGTCGTTATATCAAATGGTCGCTATATCAAAATGAGCAAATTTGCTTTGAAAATCGGTCACATAATGGTTTTAAACGTCATAATGCATGTATATACTATTTGTGGTAAACATGTTATAAACCAAAAAAGGATAGGATGCATACATTAATAAAACAAAATGACATTTTAACAATTGAATTACAACTGTAAACAATTAAGAATTTTATTTTAAAGTACTGATTAAAAAACATAGTTTGAAAGAAAAAAAATCTAGTTCCTTATGAATTAATTTTTTGATGTACATAATTTGCGGTATATATAACGAATTTTTTTATGTACATAATCTGCAGTATTAGAAAGAAGAGTAAACCGAGGAACATAAACGAGGCTTTATTAGACGAAGACATTAATTTTTNTTTTTGTATTATCTGGCATTCTGACGCAACTTTTAGTCTTCAGTATTTTAATCACACATTTAATGATTTTTTTTTATTATTTGCTTTCTATATTCATTAATGTTTATTTATTCTAAATTTTCTAATATTTATAACATTTTACTGCTTTGACATTTTAGGAGAAATTTCAATCCGTTAACTGACTAGTAAAAAGAAAAAAAAAATTATAATTATCGTGAAATCGAATTTTTCACAAATTAATTTATTATTGAAGCGAACCATTTACAAAATTTTTATTACGGAAACGATTCCATCAAAATAATAAAATAAATAAATAGATAAATAAAAATAAAATAAATAATAATAATAACGGCTTTAATTTATAATTTTAAAACAAGAATTCTTTGAAAGACATATTTTTCTGTTTCTTTTCCCAAAAAATTAAGCCTTCTTTTCACTTATTCACTAAATTTTAAATCGATTTCTTACAATTTCAAATGTATGGGTCTGTCACAAAATGTTTAAACCAGACCAACAATTGGTTTTTGTAAAAATAAAACTGGATCCTTTTTTTTAAAAATTTTTTTTACAAATTTACAAACTTATGAGTAGTTTTTTTACGATTTCATGAAAACGGTCATCTATCAAACACTCGGGAATTATTGGTCAATAGCATTTTCGTTAGAAATTTACGCTAAAATTTTCTAATAAAGTAATAGTGCCAAAAAAGTTTAAAAAAGAAATAACGACGAACATAATTCTTGAACATTGAGTTGATAATAAAGTTAGTACAATAAGAAATGCCGACGATAGATACCTCAAAGAGTGTGATTATTTTTTCTTCTTAACATCGGAGTATTAATGAATAATTAGAAGTTTCAAAATAACCTAAATATAACTACAAATGTAACAAACTATAGCGCCTATTTTCTAAAAACCTGTGCCACATTTTAATGTTATGGTCATTCATTTATTGCTTAGAGTTTCAAAGTGCCGCTGAATAACGAAACCTGTTGCTTTTCTTTTTCTACATTGCTTAATGTAAACTTCAAGGTCTGCATTTTTTTTTTATGAAATCTAGTTTAACTTGCATTGTCTAATAAAACTGAATGAATGTCAAGAACGAGTACTTGATATTTTTCATTTATCAATTTAAAAAATTGTTTTCAAGAGCATTTGTTTAATGTACGTTCGTAAGCATTGGATTGTTTTAACGCACATTCCTCAGATCTGGCAATTAATAGAAACAATTTATTATTCATATAACTTTGGTTTATATATACGTGTTTCGTAATTAATTACTGACGTCGTTTTTATGTCTTTAACACTTATATTTCATTCTACGTATTTTTTAAGAAACTGGAATTAATTGTTAGAATTAATTTGAAAGCTACTGCCTAAAGAAATGTAATAAATGACGCTCAGCACAGAACTTATTTGCTAAATTGATTAATTTCGAAGTACATTTACAAAATTTCATTCATTCGTTTTAAAAGGAAATCCTCCGGTAATAATAAGTATATCATTAATACGTATATTAATATTTAATTTTTTATCGTATAATATGTTTTAAATATGTTTTATTTATTTTGTTTATTTTCAAAATTAATTAAAATTCATAAAAAATTTCTTCATTCGTTTTAAAAGGAAACCCTTCTCTCTATTTATTTATTTATTTCATTTTTAAGAAATACTTCTCTTATGTATTAAATATTTATAATTTTTTATTTTTCAAGTGTTTTTAATTTATTTTGATTATCCTACGTAAAAAAAACTAAGAGATAAAATATCAGATCTGAGATCAGATAAAATATCAACATTTATTAAAATATATTCAGTATTGTAATGTTAAATACTATATGTAAATACTACTACTACTAATAATAATAATAAATTAAAAAATACAGACATAAAAGTACAGAACAGGACTTAATCATAATTAAAAATATCTTTTATTACGATCTTATTATAAGATTTTGCGCAGTAATTATGTCGTAAGAAATATGAGGTTAACAATTATCAAAGTTTCAGAAAATTTCATGTTCAGCCTGCAAAATTACGTGCATATCATCCTACTTTGTTACAATTTGCACAAGGTGTTTAATAACACGATCTGAATTCAAAATATTTCATAAAAACCTTTAAATTGATAACACGAAATATACTAAACACTACTTAGTCAAAATAATCAATCTCTTCTCTTTTATGATTTAGTCTTATTTTAATATTTTGCGCAGTAATTATGTTGTAGGAAATATGAGATGAACAATTATCATAGTTTCAGGAAGCTTAATGTTCAGTCAGCACAATCACGCTCATTGCAACCTACATAATTATAATTTGAACAAGGTGTCGCATAAAAAGCTAATAGTGTTTTGTAGCTAATAGCTGAAGTCGCATAAATGCATAAAAGCTAAAGTCTATCTGGATGTATGCTTGCTAATAACTCGTGAACACATTGATTTAGATTGCGTTTTTTTTCCTCTTTTAACAGTTTGCAAATTTTCAAGGGGTGATTTGTAAACAATTACCTCTTTCCGGCGTTATGTGGTCAGGGCACAGTATCCAAAATACGAAATTTCATTAATTAAAACCATTCATTGATGAGTTATGGATTAAAACGTGCTCTGTCAAAAAACAACAACAAAAAAAACCAGCATTTTTACAAAATATTTTTAAAAAAAATAGAAGTAGACGAAAACGCTAGAAAAAATTAAATATCCTTAAAGCTCACTAAACTCATAGTCAAAACATGCTGAAAGCAAACATGCAGGCTAACATAAGATATCAAAAATTGAAGAAATATTATATTTAACAGTCAGTGGTAATTTTAAACATAAATATGCTTATTCTTAATCGTCCAAACAGCATTTCAATTTCAAGATTTTTAAATTTATTAAATTCTAATATTAAAACATTTTAACACCAACTATTAATAACACCAAATAATAATAATTAGCATCATTTTTTGATAAGGAATTTCAAATTCTCAAACTTAAAACTCTACTTATTTAAAAAGGCAGACCAGCTGGTCTCCGGAAGCGGGTAGTTGTAATATTAAATACGATATCTGTAATATAATATACGATATATGACAAGTTGAAACTCAAAATCTTATTACTTAAAGTATTGCGCAATAACTATAGACTGTGATAAAAACAACTGTAAATTATAATGATTTATAATTATCACTCAGTTTAACCAAAAAAAAATGTTAATTCAGAAAATATATAAATAATTAATACTCACCCCTATCTGGTAGAATATTCTGAAAGCTGATTTGTGGTTATGTCTAATGTTGATTGGAAACCTAGAAACCATCGCTGTTTTGACAGTTGTGAAAGCTGCTACGAGCATCAACGTCACCCACCACGACAACCTTTGCACAACGTGCATATTTTTCTACTATTTTCAAAACAAATGTTAAAAAAAAGGTACGAAAATTTCCTTATGTCAATGTAGGAAAAATAAATCAAACAAACACGATTTTTCGCACGCACACCGCCAGCACTCTTATATTGTTGACTATTATAATAGTACTGTGCTGTTTTTCTTTTTCTTTCCCGCAAGACAAGCTGAGTTTTATTCCGAACAATTTCACGTGTTTCTTTCAACTTCCTTCTTGCGCGTACTACGCGATTATTTATAGTGAGGCACTCATGAATGGCCGTAAGACCAGTCCTATGTCGGTGTCTTGGAGGGGTGGTTGGAGAACTTTTTTAAGGGGGGTTGGGATCGGTAAGAGGGGTAGCACGCTCACCTGAGCAGTTGCGACAACCGTGGGAAAAAGACCGCCTCCTCCTTCTCTCTCTCAGCTTTTCTGTGATTAAAAAGATGCACGGAGGAAAAACGCGTTTAAAAGTCGACCACCGGTTTATGACTGGCGTTTTCTTTTTTTATTGAATAGGGGGGAAGGGGAATGTATGAATGAAAGCGTTTTCTGAAGTTATTACGTAGTAGCTTTTATCTTAGTCCGTAGTAGCAGCATTTTGCGCGCTTATTTTACTGAAATTTTTGCTGTTATAAATTTTTTCTTCTTCTTTCAAATAAGAAAAAATACGAACGTTTGTTTTTATCTAGTCGTTTTTCAATACAATTTGTAAAAATCTAAATTTTTCTTCTTCTTTCAAAAAAGAAAAAAATTCGGACGTTTGTTTTTATCTAGTCGTTTTTCAATGCAAATTGTAAAAATGTAAATTTTTTCTTTTTCTTTCAAATAAGAGAAAAATGCGGACATTTATTTTTATCTAGTCGTTTTTCAATGCAATTTGTAAAATTTAAAAAAAAATAAAAAAATTATTATTTTTTTTTTTAAAAATCTTTTATAAATTTTAAAATTTTTTTAACACCCATAGAATTTATTTAATAAAAAAAATAGACTTTTTTTTTTCAGTGCAGATTTTTTTATAGAAATTTTCAACGACGCTAAAATATATATAGATATATTTAATATGAAATTGGCGTTTGTTTCTGATATAGTCTTTTTTAATAAGTTTTTGAATGTTTAGTTAATGTTTTGAATGTTTAATTAGTTAATTTCAAAAGTTTTTAAGTTTTTTTTTCTTAACTTTATATTTTTTTTACAAATATCAAATCTTATTTAATGAATAAATTCACATTGGTTTCATATGCAATGTTTTTGAAAAAATATTAAAATTATTCTAACATACTTTTTTTTTAAAAAATTTAGTTGAATACAGTCATTTTTCAATATATTTATTATAGGTTTTTCTCCTTCTTTTAAATGTGTGTTTTCAATAAAAAATTTTTTCAATTTTACGATTTTTAACAAGCATTGAATTTTATTATCAACTAAGTTGACGTTTGTTTTGAGTGGAAAATTTTTTTTGAGATTTTCAATGACACAAAAACATTTTTCTTTTTTTTAAATATTAAGTTGGCTTATGTTTTTAATGCAGTCTTTTTGAATAGATATTTGAATGTTTAGTTAATGTGTTTTTTAGAACGCTTTAAGTTTTTTTTTTTTTTTTTAATTTCACATTTTTTAAAAAAAATATCGAATCTTATTTAACGAAGAAGTTGGAGTTGTTTTTTTACGCTGTTTTTTTTAAAAAATATTTAAAATTGTACTCACTTAGTTTTTTAAGAATAAGTTGACGTTTGTTTAAAATATATAGTCATTTTTCAATAAATTTATGATTCCTTTTTTTTAAGTGTTATTTTTTAACGCCTTTTAAATATTTTTTCTTCCAATTTTACGATTTTTTTTTAACACATTGAGCCTTTTTTAAACTTTTTAATAAGTAATTTGACGTCTTTTTTTTAGTGCAGATTTTTTAAGGTTTTCAAAGACGTTTAATTGGCGTAAGTTTTTATTGCTTTTTCTCTCTTTAATCATAATAATGCATTAGAAACTTCCAACTTCCACACCTTAGCGNGGGAGGCATGTTGTTCGATCCCAAGCCACGTCCAATTCCATCTCTTTTTTTTTTTTTTTTTGGTTTTCTTTTTGTCACAAAAGTTTGAACTTTCAGAAAATATAAAATCTACCTACACCTACTAAATACCATAAATATGAACTCTACTGCGAAATACAAATACAATTTACGATATGCTAATGCGAAAAATCGTCTATATTTTTTTATTTATTAAAAATTAGCATAACGCAGTTTAAACCTTTAAGTTACCGTGTCATATATCGGCAAAAAAGAGATTTTCTAAGGACGATTTCGATAAATATTGCAATCCTGTAATATTAGTCTTAACACAGAATGTTCAACTTTTATTTTTTACTGTTAAGTTGATTTTTAGAATTCAATTTGATGCTTTCAAAGTTGCACACATTTATTTTAGGAATATTACTTAATTTGAAATTTTTGAATTGAAATTTTAATTCGAGAGCAAAATCTTAAAGACACTTAATGCTAGTATTTCTTAACTACTAACAGTTAAGGATATAAGCCTAATTTCTTTTCCTATTATTTCTTTGTTTTCCTTCTCTTCCATTTCAAAAGATTTCTGGTGCGTTCTCTCGGTGCAATTTCTAGTTGACTCCTGCAAGGTACCCCCTGCTAAGCTTTATGTAATTTTACTATAATCAAGTTTAGATTTTTGGCAAATTTCCGAAAAGTACTTGGGGAATATTTCTGCAAGTTTGACTAAAAAACCCTTTACAAATAGAAGTTGTTGCATTTTAAATTCTATTATTATTGTTGTTGTTATTATTTTTTGGTATGCCATCTGTTACAAGTGATTGCCAAAATGTGTGTGCATGAATGGTGTTGCTCTTGTTGCTCTAATTTTAAAACTTTTCGATTTAGGTTTTTGTTTATTTTGTTTTAGATTCAAGTAATAATTATTTCAGGATTTTATATTCGAAATTATACTCTTAAACACTCTAAATTGCACTCTGTATCAATTAAAAGTCCCATTAAGAAAAGATGGATCGGAATATTTTATCTCAATATCATGGTGGACGTTGAAAGTTTTAACATCCATGTGCCTTTTCTCAAAAGATGCTGATTCAATGTTTAAAAACTTCTGTTTTATTCCTCTTGTTGTGGTGCATATTTAACTCAGGTTTTTATTTTATTTCGTAAATACCGATGTCTTAATTATGAATACGAACTGAGAACTGAATGCGCTTGTTAACGGAACTATTTTGATTAGATTAAGTGGCTAAACTTTTGTTACAAAATCGTCATTCATATAAGCCCGTTAAAGTTATGAACTTCTGTTTTTGTCTGTAATAGATTCATTGATTTATGTTTTTAAATACCGAAGTTTTAATTAGAAAATAGATTTTTCTTAACAATGACTAATTTGATTAGATTTGGTATCTACAAGTGTGTTATAAAATAGCATAAAAAGAGACTTTAAAGCATTACCTTTCTCCTTGTTTCTAGAGTTTTACAGTTATCTTTTAGCAAGTATTACTCATCGTGAAAAAAAGTGTTCCTTTCCATTTTACAGTAAGTTGTTGAGCTGCGTGACATGCTCAGCTTTAATAATAGCGAAATATTTTTCAACGAAGAAAAAGAAAATATGAAGGTCGAGCCTACCTTAGTTAAGGGCATGGATGTTAAGAGGGGAAATTTATAAGACCATTGCTGGCTATCAAGCGTCCATGATCCTCCGTATCTCGATCACCCGTAGGCTAAGGAAGTGCACTAACCTCATCATATCATTCACTATTTTTTTTTTTTTTTTTACCTCCTCTTATTCTCTATCTTATGTTGGATAGCGCCGCTGGTCTTCTAAATCATCTATCAACTGCAGCCTTCTTATTTTAAATGAGAAGAAATAAGAGAGAGAAAAAAATTCAGGTCTTTCATGTTGTTTGGAACCGTGTTTTAGCTGTCCACATTGTTAATAGAACATGGTGACAAATATTAATTTTAGATAATCTGTTTTGTTTAAAACATGTTTATAATAGCATGTCTTTTAAATTTATCTTAGATCTTTTATTTATTTAAACTATCACTTGCTGCCTAATATAGTCACCAAATCATAATATCTGCCTAGTTTCGAACTCCATTATTTCATACTAATAGGGACATTGTACGTTATCATTGTGAAATGAAGGTACACATTTCACATCATTTTTTTAAAATTTATTATAAAAGAATATATTATTACATTTATACGTAGTAAACGTAAAACTAAATTTTTTTTGTAAAAAATTTATTTTTATATTGTAATATCACTGGATTTAATATACAATATTATGATATTAGGTTCAGTGATAACAAAACACATTAAGTAAAACTATGAATTTAGTCAACACTAAAGCAATGCATATTCGGAATTTGTTTATTTATTGGGTATTATTTTAGATAATTTTTACACAATAAAGTAAATAGTGAATATTTTACAACAATGCATTAGCCATAATAGCATAGAATTAGTTTTTTTAAAGTTATTTAAGTATTATTTTAGGCAATTTTTACATAGATATTGACTATTTAAAAACAATATATTACGCATAGGGGTTAACTTTTTATGAATTGTACTTCAACTCATCTCTTGTATCTTCATAACCAGTATTATCTTCGAATGCTTAGAAAATCTGTAACATCAATCTGCTCTATTTGAGGCTACTATTAATACTACGAAATAAATAAATAAATATGGTCTTGCAATCTAACCTGCTTTACTTAGGTCTTCAGACAGGTATCTTCTTGATGATAATTGCACTCTTATTAAACAGCCAACATCAAATATTTATTTATAACGCTAATTGTTATAAACTAATATCTAGTCCCGCAGTGGACTGATCGTTAAGACACGGTTCCCAGCAGATCACCGAAGTCAAGCATCACTGGCTGCGGTCAGTGTGCGGGTGGGTGACCACTTGGATCAGTCTGCGTAGGGACCGAGGGTGCGCGGTATTGGTCCTCGTTAAACTGTGCTACCGTAAAGTGCTCGACTTCGCGCGCAGGTCGTCGGGCTACCGAAGCAGGGGTGCCATCCCCTCCGCAGAGGATCAAAATTGTGATGGCATGTCTTCGGATCATCCTCCGGGATGTTTCCCAGACCGTCGCCAACAGCCCATTGTGCAGTTCTAGTGCGACGTAAATTAACAGCAACAACAACTATAAACTAATATCTACATTTTACGTCTTAGATGTGCCAAAAACAATAAAGTGAGTTTTGAAAAGAAAAAAAAAAGAAAGAAAGAGAGAGTACTGCCTTTTACTGCTAAGTCACGGATATCTTTGATTGTATCTTAGGTTACGGTTTTTTGTTGCTTACAACTTTTGGTAGCCTTTAACCCAAATGATTACTTTGCCCCCATTATATTTTTATCGAGCCTGCTTTAAGGTACTTATCGAAAATTTGTCTAAATACCATTTAGCTGTGACTA